ACCTGATTTTGTGAAGTGTGGGGACTGATAATTGCTGTTGCTGGATGGGGACTGTGAACTTATATTGTGATGTGTGGGGACTGGGAATTCATGTTGTGATAGGTGGGAACTGGGAAGCTGTTGTTGTGAGGGTTGTTGACTGGGAAATCTTATTTTGATGGGTGGAGTAATGTGTTGTGACAAGTAGGGACAAGTTGCTCTTGTTTGGAAGGTTTGAGATTTGAATATTCTGTAATGGGTGAAGGTTGTGAAATCCTCGTGTGATGGGAGGAATTTGAAACTCTCGCTTCGAATTTGGGATATCCTGTTGTTATTGTTATGGACTCTAAATTCCTTCGTAATTATAATCATTGTTATTAAATTGTTCACTATGTTCATTGAATAAAAACTAACTTTTGTGAAAGCAACTTCATATAGTGTATATTTGGTTATTGTTTAAACCGTAGCCCCTTGGATAAGGATGAGGTAATCACAGATTGACATAGGGTTGCACATCAGAGAAAACATCGTAAGTGACCATGAACAACCGTGAAATTCATTTTCTTTGCTTTCAATGGACATTCTAAATTATTTAGTTTCCGCCACGCAGCCCAATTAAGGCTGCATTAAGATGGCGGGCCTAATTTATACGGAAAAAGATTAGCTGTGACATCACACAAATATAGCAATTCCTCACAATAACAGAAATTAAATAATTTGCGATTCCAGACTGTGGAAGAGTAATGAACTACATCAAAACTTACGACTGCATTCATCTTTGTCGCTAGTTAAATCCCATAAAGCAAGATATAAAACAAATCACTGATTTCTTATCACTTGTTGGCATGACGTCATCATGGTAAAATTTGACGCATTTTTTATGCAGTGAAAGGCGGATCATGTAATTTTTTCACATTGAAAAATGCATTTTATTATTAAACCGAATAATATTTGCAAAGGTAGGTCATTGATACAAATCTGAAACCTTTGTTTAGTACCATTATTTACAATCTATCAAGAGAATGTTTTGAATCAACTCTACCGTTTTTTTTGTCTACAGGGTTTGCATGTTTCACGCCGAGGTGCCTCATTAAATCGCCTTCTCGCAAGGGCATACACTGAATAGATCTTGACCAGTTTTTGAATATACATAACGGGCAAATTCTTTAACTTGAAAAGTGCTGCTGCTTTCCTGAAATAGATATCTTAACTTAATAAATACACAAAATACTTGGTAATGGTCACACATATTTCGACTAAAGCCAGATAACTTGAAATTTAAATTAACAAAATTCGAATTCTATTTAAAGCAGCAGTAGGTTCCATACACTTCAAGTTATATAGAACAATTTATTACTTAATTTTTTAATTTAAACTAGGATATGCCCTTGCGATATTGAAATTTGTTTGTGACCTACGTACAGTACACAATACATACATTTATCACGTGACTATCAAATAGCGTGACCACACCAAATTTAGTGCAGAGCGGGGTATATAATATTATTTCAAATAATATTAAAGTCATGTGATAATATAGTACCTTTATAAAAATAAATTCAGTTTAAAAAGATATTTTAAAAAAAAGGTTTAAAAAGGTATGTATTTATGCATGTTTATATTCCGTTGATTTCTTCGAAGTACGCCTTAACAATGCTGCGCATCAGGACGTAGGACTTTTCTACACTATTATACAACCATTCCTCAAGATAAACTAAAATCTTACCTTTTTGATATTATAGACAACTGCTTCTTCGATATAAATGGAAGACGAACATTTCGCAGTACAGTTAAGGTGCCAAATGGAATTCTCGGCGAATTATTCAGATAGAAAATACATTCTTTACAAGGATGGGCTATTCTTTTTAGGACTTTACTATTATCGGACAAATATAATGTGGTTAAAAACTACATGTTGAGGACGACTTGATTTCTTATTTAGACTTGTCACGTGATGTGGTAGTCACATAATTTTAGCAAGTATATCTGCAGTATTGAGGTCATCTATAAATTCCAATATTGCAAGGGCATTACCAAGTTAAAAATCTAAGTTTAATTTAGAATTATTTTCAATACTATTTGTAGTTTGTGAAAAGTGCTGCGAAACTATATAGATTCCACTATCTTATTGCTAAAATTACATTTGTTAGACCGTATGTTGAATATTTGCTGGTCAAGTACATTAAATATATATATAATTAATTCATTTGCAAGATTTCAACAGGTTCGCAGCACTTTTCAAATATCTTCATACTTCTTGAGTTTATGCATAAAAGCTTGTCATAATTCATTGAGGGTATGTCCTTGCAATACATCGATTTATTACGACCCTTCTATTGCCCTTCAGTGAATCAACATACAAATATACGGCAGTATCGCTTGTCTAGGGAATGTGCGGGAAGTATATGAATTAAATCATAAAATAGACATTGCATCCATGCTAATGGCCTTTTATATATCTGCAAATAATATTTTATTTAATCGCAAAATACATTTGTCATTGTATAAAATATTACTTGATCCGCCTCTCACTTCAAACAAACTGCGTCAAATTTTACGATATGACGTCGCATTGACAAATGCATTGTGATTGTTTGTATATTTCTGTGTGGGATTTAACCAACGAGACAAAAATACATGCATTAGTAAGTATTGATGTCGTTTAAATCTATCCAACAGCTTAAATTAGCAAATCATTTCATTTTGTGGTAATTTGAAGAACTTGTTTTTGCGTGATGTCATAAGCATTTCCCGTATAAATTAGGTCCCGCCTTCTTATTGTAGTTTTAACTGTGCTGCGTTTTGTATCTTGTGATTGGTCATCTACAAGATTACTTTGATAAAAACCTCTCTTATTCTACACACAAGTACACTGAAGGCGATATTAAATGGATGCTGAGGTTCATCATTGATAATATGTATGTAGTCTTTGGAGACCAGGTCTTCCAACAAACTGTTCGAATTACAAAGGGCACTATTTTTGCTCCTTTATTAGCAAACCTGTTTTTATACACCTATGAGGCAGAATGTATTCAAAAACTTCTATAGGAGAGGAAAAAAAACCTCTTGAGATTGATGGCTGTTTGTTATCTTCACCTTGTCAATATAATAATTCCAGGGTCACGTGATATTGAAATATGGACTTGATTTCTTGTCTGTAGATCACTTAAAAGAAATCTATTGCTGTGGCCTTCAATTCCACTTTTTGATATATTGACGACGTGTCATTTTTTAACATTATTCATTTTCATGTTTCATTGATTTGATACATGCACATTCCTTTGAAATTGAAATAAAAGACACCACAGAGTCTGACAAAAATGTTTTATATTTGGAAAATTTATCAGAAAGAGACATCAATGACAAACAAACAACATGATAAACGGATGACAAACTTTTCTATGCTCAATTTCCTTATGTTTCATATTAATTATAACATTATCACTTGGAATTTACATCTCACAGTTGATTCGATACACATTAGAATGTTCTATTTATGCAGACAATTTGTAAATCAAAGTTAGAAGTTGACAAATAAATTGATGATATAAGTATATCAATAGTCCCGCTTAAACTGTTAACAGGGATGCTTACTCCTCCATGGCACATGGTCCTACTTCCGATCGATTAAGAGCTCCACATTTGCTCTGCTCCCAAATCCTATTGTAGCGATAAACTTTAGTTGGATTGATTTATTAGTTTATCGTGTTTCCCTTGACAAATGCAAATGTAAAATATTTGGGGATGGGAGTGGCAACAGTAGGTGTGTAGACATTTACAAGAGTAATTCGAAATATATACCGATGCTTTTGAAAATGCATAATGGGCCAGGTGTAAGGATCCAATGTAATTCCACTATACCCATCTTATTGTCTTCATAACGAATCTATCCCGACGAAGATTTCTTTTTTGCAAAAATTAATTTAAAAACACACTTTCTGTGGCCAGTCTTTATATTCTGAAGTTGCCTGATGTTTATGGAATATGAAAATAACGAACACTAATCAATATAAAAAGGCCATTTAAAGAATACAAATTAGGTGCAGAGCAAATACAGACTTCTTAAAACATCGGAGGTAGGACCAGGGGCCATCAAGACACTCATGGATTAACTCAAGTGACGTCAATAATACTCCTAGTGAGGCCAAAAGTAATGAAATGTATAATTAATATCAGGTCAGAAGGTCAAAAAAAGGTGACATTTGCAAAATAATGCCAGTTGCAACAACATATATATAGTTACATGTGTATTCTTCTTGACCAGTGAAAATACAGGATTTTTCTTATCAGAGGCAGAATAAAGAAAAAAAAGCATAATCCGTATAAATCAAGCTACTTGTCACGCACTCAGCTTTGAAGTCACTTACAGGTCTAAGAGCATGCCAGTGTCACTATTTGAGCCGAGTGATAGACATCAAATAAATAGAATAAGTAAAATTAAACGTAAAAAAATTAAAAATTTACAATTCATCAATTTTCATTTTTGCCATCTGATCAGAATTTTTAAATAACGATCAGAATTTGTAAATAAGAACACAACATTTCTAATTCTAAGTTTATTCAATATATAATTTTGGAATAGAAAATGAAAATAACAACGAAAACCTTTGGAAGATATCTACTCACAAAAATGCCTATATTATTCAGAAACATAAACTGTTAAGAATATGTCATCATTTAAACATTTAAACAATGACCCCCCTCCTCCCTCAAAAAATACTATTGTCATATGTGCCCATTTTATTTACATTTATTTAAATACAGAAATAATATAATACAATAATTAATAAAAATGGCATGTCTTCTTCATTTATATTGCTTAATCTTTGTGCTATGTCTTAATAACATTCAAATGAATTGTCCATCCATTTCTTTTCTTTCTTAACTTTCATCTGTAAAGAATAAACAAATACACAAAAAATATTAACAACAGAACTGTCCCTTCCTTCAACCCGCGATTCAAATGAAAAACAAAAATATCGAAGAATAAGCAATGTATAAAAAGAATAACAAATGTTTACCTAGTGACGCTTGATCAGCATCATGGTCTCCTTCACATCTCTAGCGTACTTTACTGGAGGATTCCATGGGTCGTACCAGTCTGCCGAGGACCAGGGACCGTTGAGGTAGGCGTAGTTACAGGAGTTATACCACCAGCCTCCTCCTCCTCCCCAATCAGCAGCACAGTTAACTCCACTCCATTTGTCGTTATCTCTGTCTGAGGTGGAGAACGACATCCCAGACAGGTCAGTGTAAGGATTTCCAGAGTTAAGCATTCTGTCCCCTGTAGAATTAAAGAAAAAAAGAAGATTACAATGAAAAATTAGTTCAGTCCTTGTTAACCAATAGTAATATTTAAACTGATTTACTTGCGCTGAATTCCGATTGGATAAGAGTGTTACCTTGTTAAAAAAAACAATCTGATTGTACACACAAGTACTCTGAAGTTGACATTAAAAAGATGCTCGAGTTTCTGATTAACAATATCTATGTGGTTTTGGAGACCAGGTCTTCCAACAATCTATTGGAATTCCCATGGGTACCAATTGCGCCCGTTATTAGCAGACCTTTTTTGTATTCATATGAAGCAGAATTTGTTCAAAATCTTTTACGTGAAAAGAAGAAAACACGTGCTGTGGCCTTCAACTCGCCATTTTGATATATCGACGACGTATTGTCAATTAACACTGGTTATTTCCATTCTTATGTCGACACGATATATCTCGGTGAGCTTGAGATAAAAGATACCACAGAGTCTGACAGGGGATGCTCACTCCTCCATGGCACCTGATCCCACCTCTGATGTTTGGAGGTCCGTGTTTGCTCTGTTCCTAATTTGTAATGTTTGATGGACTTTTGATGTTGAATACTATTCGTTATCTTCACATATTTCATTGTTCGTTTTTCTCCACATATTTCATTGTAAGTACTTAAATGAGCACCCACCCCTCTCCCGATCAGGAGCTGAGCATCATGCCACTTAGCCTACCTCAACAGCTTAGAGAATGTTAGTAGGTAGTTATATTAAATATGATGTAAGAGAAAGGGTGATGGGAGGAATGTATTTGTATGTTATCAAAAAAGAAAATTTGCTAGAAGAGTAAAAATATGAATATATACGTTTCAAATTATTTTCTCTACAATAACTCTTTGAAAGTAAGGTGAGTGGATTTCTTGATCATTACACCTGGATGTAAATTTCGCCAAGTAGTGAAAGTTCAGGAGCCTCGTTCTCGTGTCACTGTCTTTGTCAGTTGGCGGGGACTATTGAAATGAACATGGGATGCCTCGTGTATATTAAACCTACTATAGGGCACTTTTTAAATTTACATTTACAATTTTATTTCATATATAAATGTAATTATAAGGAATCACTATCTATTGTGTTGCTTATGCTTGTATAAAGCATCGAAAGGTCGTACGTTTTGATGTTGTTGATTTTGTGTATTTTTTTAATTTCAAATTTTCTAAAAGTTCCTTAGAGTGTTTAAGTATTCCATGTCTGATTCTCACAGCTTCTCGAATATATTGTTGTACAGTACTCCTAAAGTTTTTCCCTTACCACTGTTAATATTTTATAAAAATGTAAGCAAGGACGTTTGGTAGAACTTTTACTGGAACCCGTTATGTATCCTTGTTTGTAAGGATCATCTCCGCGACTCTATAGGAGACGCTCTAACCACTGCACGAGACGGACAACTCGTACGTTTTAATGTTACGCAGCTATGTTAAGGATTCCCGAAGCTTTAAAATGCGCTCAAAACATAATATGTCATTGCGAGGTCGGTTTTGGTTTTAATTTTTAAGTATTGAACTTTAGTACTTCCAATTTATATAGAGGGTTCCCTTGGCTATATATTAGCATATTTGTTATGATATCACATGACTTTGTTCATCACTTGACGGTCATTTATAATTTTTTGAAGTCTTTCATATAAATCGCTTCGGCGCAGCTGATTAACACAATAATTATTAACATTTTGTTATATAAATAAACTCATCGTATCCTTGTGTATCCGAAATGTGCTTGGGAAAAGTCATACTATTACTTGGGTACAAAATATTTCCTGAGAAATTCAACTTACCTACAAATTTGAGGGTATTTTCCACACAATATCGTAATCTGTAGTAAAACAAAGCCAACACACATTTTTCCCAAGCAAGATTCAGTTAGAGAACAACCTCTTCTTACAGATTTCCACAAACATTCTCAGATAAATCCTCATTAATCATCTGCGCCAGACTCTTTTATACACACAAAATAAATTCTACCTCCAACCACGGGTATAAAACAGAGTACATTTCAAAAGTATATTTTTCATAAGCATTTTGAACATGATGAATTTCAATCAAGGATAGGTGAGCGGTGTATTTTTAAAATATTCGGACATATAAAACTTAAAAAACCTTTAACGACCCGTGAATTTTACAATAGCTATCTAGCATTTTACATGCAGTTTGAAATAAAGTGTAAAGTTCATGACACTCTCCCCGTCATAACACCTCAGGTTTGCAGTGACCTGACGTCATTTTCGATTATGACGTCATATTTTGGTAGTTCAGAGATGTGAATGCACAGAGTGCACTGTCATATTCTACGGGAAGCCTTAACCTACCTGCGTATTGATTTATTGTAATTTTTTTAATTCTGTTGATTTTAATTTATTAAAAAGTTTCCAGGAGTTTATAGGTATCCACCTTATGATTCAAGCTACTTCTCGTTGTACAGTTCTCTTGAAGTTTTCCTTCACTACTGTTAATATTATAGTGAGATGCAACCAAAGAGGATGCTGTTGATATTTTAGTGAGGAGTAAAAAAAAGCCTTATTAGAACTTTAACTGGAACCCGCTATGTTTCCTTGTTTGTCAAAAGTTTTATGCAGTTTTAGAATCCAGCTAATATCGACATGGTCATTCAGATTCAATTTGATTGTTGGGAATATCAAAAGTATGTAAAACAAAGGTATGATTTTATAGAATTTCCGCCGTTAGTAAGGAAGTTATATGTATAAGTTGGATTGCAACTTACAAAAATCTCTCCCAATTCCTCCCAAATACAATTAAAATAATGAACCTTACAAACAAAGACAATAGTATTACTTCCTTTGTCAGCAGGAACCAGTATATATTGATCGTGTAATTTACCTCTTCTGAATTATTGGAGACAGAAGGATGGATGATTTTCATATTTCCCCTCAATCGCTTAATGGGAGATTCTAACATCCATCTGATACTTTTATCTAAGCTGATAAAATGTCAAGCACTTCTTTTCCTATTTAGCCCATCATCTGGTGTAATTTTCCAAAGAATTTCCACAATATTTATGAAATTTTTACGCCAATTGAAAGATGAAGATAGTGATTCTCTTTCTTGTTCACCTGACTATCAATTTTTATTCCCTAAGCTTCCAAAAGTCATGGTAAGGGTTAGAAGTAGAAGTCCAAGGAATTCTTTTTAAACAAAATATTTCCATTGATTTTATAACTTTCAACAATTTCTAGAATGAAAGTTATTGTTTAATTTTCATTGAATTGAAGTTTTTAAGCTTTACAGCTAACAAAAGAACGCTCCTGGCATAAAACTTGGATTAATAGGAAATAAATTGTATAATATAAAGAAGCACTTTAAAATTCCCACTTTTTATCTCTCTCTCTCTCTCCCCGACTTTTTGCTTTAATAAGATAGCACAGTCATTTTGTTTGCGAATGGACGTAAAAGAATAAGTTCCTTACTTTAATAATTTGTATGTTTTTTTCTAGAAAAAAAATATTACATCACATCAATTAATTTTTTTTTCCATAGAACTGTTTTTTAAAGGCTGGAGAAAAAAAAACATTGTCAACCGACGCATCGGTGAATAGTTATAAAGTTCTGCATTTCCACTTCAATGCACCCATACTTTATTATGCTGAAAGTCTGATTGAAAATGCTACATAAAAAAGTCGAAAATTGTCATTCAGTTCTAGATTAGAAAGTTTTTGAACATTTTACTTTCTTTTTTCTTAACAAAAAAGCATTCATAAAGATTTGTCGATGGCTTCACAGGTTAATGGTACTCAGTCAGTCCTTATTCTTTCTTATCTTTTTCATTGTTTTCACAACCAACTCTACTTGAACCTTGCTTAATTTATATGAGTGGGTATTTAAAATATCTCTACCTGTGTAATGATGCATATTTGACATCCCCCCTCTCTCTCTCTACGTATAACGTACCTAAGGTTCCTGTAGCAGGTCCTGCCAGAAAGAGCTGGTACTTGTCTGCTTCACTAGAAATTGAGAACTCATTGTACAATTCATACAGCCTGCTACCATTCACTAGTGTGATGGATATATAGAGTGATGAGGGTCCTCCCTTTGTTAACTGGTGGATATCGTCATTTCCTGTTTTAGAAATCAATTGATTATTTTACTGCAATACAATTAAAAAGGTATATCCTAAACATAATCAAACAGAATTTAAAAGCTATATAATTTATATTAGTTCCTTTAGTTCTTTTAAAGTATAGGTTTTTCGGCTAATCTTCGTCATTTTTGAAAACTTAGTATGCCAGGTCACAAAACGAAATTCTTTTTCTTTCCGTATTGTCACTTTATATATTTGTCTTAGAACAAATTCATTAACAAACAATAAATGCATATTGCGCAATGTATCATACCCAGCCTTAAAGTTAGACCCTTGATTTGCTTCTAAACGTGATTTTACACAGGTGTAAGATTTAAATTTACCGATCCAGACATCCTGTTCCGGTGAGCCAAAACCATTCTTGTATTCTGTCCAGTTCTTTTCAAAGCTCAAGGATCCATTTATTCGTTTCTGAATTGCCTTGGAAAGATAAACATGTATATCAATCTATTATTTTTGTCTCGAAGAATTGCACGTTCATTTTGTGTAATATATCATAATCAAATCAATCCCTTTAATTCCTAATTACATGATATACATCGAATTGAAAATAAATTATATACCGTCCACCCTCCGTTCATCGTCTCCATGTCGCAGTAAACTCTCACAGGATCGGAGTTGGTTCCATTGAAATAAATTTCGTACACCCCTGTATTAGTGTGACCATTATCACGAAGATCTTTACAATCAACTGGTAAAACTGAAACAGAAAATATTAATATCCGCTGATTTTTCTTCTTTATTTCTTAAGAAAACCGTTGTTGTTTATCAGTTAGTAAACAGCGCTAAGCATATCACCTCTACAGGGGCCAGTTTTATAAAAGAACTTACGACTAAAACCAAAACATTAATTTGATTGTAAAAAAATTCAAAATAAATATTTCTGTCTAAAATTGCTAGCCTAAAAATATTTTACTCCATTCCTTTTAAAAAGATTAAAACCATTTTCAATATAATGTAAATTAAAAAGTTACAAGCAGATTTAAATTTTGGAATTAGTCGTACGTTGTTTTTTTTTTTTTTTTTTTTTTTTTTTTTTTTTTTTGTTTTGTAAAACGGGTACCAGATTTCTTCAGCAATGGCTCTTCCATCAATGGAATGTACAACGACATTCATATCAATTATACCGTATTTAATTTACTCAAAGTCTTCTTTATACGATTATTTAGATGATTATTTGTACAGATATAAATATAACCAATAAAATGCTTTCTTTGTTTGTTGGTATTGGAAATGAAGTTGCGGCTTTTGCAGAAGAATTGCATAAACTGCTTATCTTGGTTTGGCTTTTTCTGGTAATAGCTGCAACAGTAAATTCCATATAAACAACAAAAGAAAGCATTTTTATTGTTTAAATGAACAAAGTGTATTGTTTTTTTCGTTTGTCTCTATCCGCGTGCGGGTGTGGTTTTAAGTGTGAAAAGTAAAACGAAACTTAAAGCCATACATACAACCATCTAAATAGTATCTCCATCCGGGCCCGTCAGAAAGACCGGAAGTGAAGATCTTCTGGTGGATCCGGCACTTCTCCATTATATGATGGAATCCAAACAAGCCACACTCATTATTACACATAATAGCACATAGAGTCAATGTTTGAGCTTTGAATTCGCCTAAAAGTTTGTTATCAGACATTTTATTATCAAATTCCAGTTGTGCGGTATATCGCGGAGAAACATTGATAGCTTGGGTCGCTGGTGAAAAGAGAACAATAAAACTAATAGCAATAAGGCTGTTCATGTTGAACTGTGTGTTTATCACCACCTGGTATGTTCCCATAAGAAACTAAAATGGATACTTTAGCTGTCAGGCATAAATGTTAGATACTTTGTACTTGATTTTATGGAAGAAAGATGATTGGTTGCTTGATACATTCTCTCTTTCGTACTAATGCTGCAATATCGATTTTATAAAGAAAAGGGGTGGATTCTTAGGAAAATATTGAAATATGATATAAAAACTTAACATTGAAATAATTGTTTGAGGATGATCTAAAGGCAAACATATATACTGGTAAGCCTAAAAATGTTGAATTCTTAAGAGACAAAAGGAGACAAAAGGAATCAATATTTTTTTCTCCTAATGGTGTCCTTAAATAGTGTCATGGTATCAATGGTGTCCTGAAATAGTAAGCAATACAATTGAGCGCTTCAAAAGCTAATTATATTTTATTCAAACCAGAGCTAAAAAAAAAAATGTGTCGAAAGTGTGTCCTGAAGTTTTTATTTTGTTTCAAAACAATTTGCCACACAAGGACACTTCAGATTATAATATTTTGTGTAACTCATTCAAAAATTTTGGAGAACAAATTTGAGATAGACACTTCGTATAGAACGTACAGTGTGTAACATTTTTAAAAGGCTATCCAAATCCTTTAGACGTGTATTTAATTCTGCCCATGGATTCTTGGCTCAAAGAAAATTTTGCACAATGTTCCTATGCATGTGCCATTGAATAAAATAAATGTTCTACATATCAGAAAGCAATATATTTCAAGAATGTACCTAAAACAATCAAATACATACATATGTACTGCTGAAGAAATCTGAAAAAAATTAACATTCCAAATATTTCAAGACCGACAAGACAAGAGCAAACATTAAATGTACCCTCAAATGAACCCCGGGTCCACTCGATGTCGGTTTGGTATGATACCGAGGGGAGCCAGAGAGCACCCAAAGCAAACGCCAATTTCAGAAGCGGAACCAGGAAGACGCTGAGTTGGCTATTAATGTGAAAACGAATACACTCGATGATATGTGTTCGTTCTTAATGATATATAAAATATAACACCTACCGTGTTACTCTTTTAGATTTGTTGAACATAAATACACGTGTCCTGATTTCTGATTGGTTAATATTTATGTTTCTGTAACTTTCAACATTTTCATTGAAATTCGTTGAAATCTAAAATGGATCTTTTTATTAGGGCATCTATTAGGGCATTCTTTGAGATTATGTACATGTATATGGTAATTTTCGAAATCATGTGCATGTGTCATATATGCATTGATATTTCCTCAAAACACTTTTGAAAATAAGTTGTTAAAGTCTATAGTAAAAAGATTTTGCTTTATTAAATGAAATTGATAGTGAATCGGCCCTAATGAAAGTATGGGGAGCATTTTTGAAACACTGTGACAATTTCTGTTACCATTTGACTTAGGATTTTTTGACGTTAAACGCTCTTCCTACTGAGCCACCGTGACGGCTTGATCCGGGAAATTCAGGTCAACTTTACAAAATGCTTTAAAAAGACATCGGAAACGTAGGACAACCAGAAACACTTAGTATAGGGAATGAATAAACCCCTTTAATCATGGTGTTTTGTAGGCAAACTGCAGAGAGAATGTGAGCATTTGATGTAATCATTCATATCTCTACAGATTATTCTGTAAACAATTAGTACTCTTTATAATTGAATTAGAAAACTAGGCCAGATAACGATATTGTGATGACAGGAATGATACAAATCACAAAAAGGAATTAACTGCGAATGTGGAGTTCGAAAAATTCTCTTTAACTTCAATCATGGCGTGTTCTTAGCAGTTTTGTGCAATAGAATGAATGCGTTTGATGTAAGCATCTATTTCTCTTCAAGTATTACATAGGTCCTGATGAGCAATTAGTCTTCATTAATATATGCCATATTCTAACGATATCATAACTGCTTGGAAAAGTAAAAGACATACCTTAATCAACAAAATGTTTACAAAATAAAATAAATTTCAAGCATGAGCACACCTCATTGTGCACTGCAGTGTTCTTTTGTTCTTCTTTACACAAAGCATAGAATTTTAGAGATCTTGTAAAACTGAGATCGTTTAATTACAGTGTACTAGTCCTTAATAATATATAAAATATCACTCATTTGATTAAACTACCTCTTGTTATTCTTGGGGTTGATTTTAGATTTGTTTGTAATTGATCGTCTGCAAACTTTTCTTTGATCAACAAAGATCCTGATTTTACACACAAATACTCTGAAGCTTCTTTTATACACTGTTTGTGTTTCTCATTGACAATGTCTATGTATTCCTTCAAGACCAGATTTTTCAATAGTCTGGTGAAACACATATGAGAGCGTATTGTACCCTGTTGTTTGCAGACCAGCTTTTGTATTCATGTGAAGTAGAATTCATTCAAAAACATCTACGAAAAGGGAAGTTTATTTTAAGTCACATCACAAAATTACTTGTAAATAATTGCATTAGAAAGAAACACTGTCTAAAATTACAGAGTATCACATTTGTAAATGTTATATGATACAATTTTCCCCAAATTGAGACCGAGTTTTTGGCCATGCAGTACTAGTAAATTGAGCAAACAATTGCAATCTGAAGTTTTCGCTATCAGCAAATTATTTAGAATAAATGTCGTTTACTATCATATATCACAGAACTGAAGATAAAATAGTCAAAATATTACAAGACGGTGTGTAGTTTTTGAAAAACAAAACTAATTCGTTGAAGTCCCTAAATTATATCAACTTTATCTGTCAGTAATCTGCATCAATTTAAACATTGATCTTAATCAGAGCATTCCCTTTAGTATGGCATTATGGAATAATTTGGGAGATATGAACATCATACATCAATCATTATGTAATTTATTTTAATAAGGATAGTTAAGAACGGTAAACCTGATATGATCCCGTTACCCATACAGTTTAGGTAGTAATTCACTTTTACTCAATAAAACAGCCAAATATGAAACATATGTAGCAGACTCTATGGTGTAATTAATTTCGAGTTCACTGGGATATATCGAGTGGACATATGAATGGAAGTATCTGTTGTTTATTGATAAGACGTCCTCTGTATATTTTAAAATAAGCTTGAAATCCACGGCAATTTTTTTCATTTTTCCCGTGTTATGATGCACAAATTCCATAGTAAATGAATGATTTTTGTTCAGAGAAACCAAGGTACAACTTAAGAAAATGTTTTTAAAAAAAAAACCTTGGAAACAAATGAGAATGAATGAATTCCCTTTAATCATGGTGTTTTTTAAAGTCAAACTGAAGAGATAATGATGTCAGCATTCATTTCTCTACAGATGATCTTGTGAGCAAGAAGTCCTCATTAATATTGGATTAGAAAAGGACATACAGCAATTTGATAATGTGAGGAATAATACAAAAGTATATAGAAAGAACTAACTTTGATCACGGTGTTTGTTTAGAAGTTTTGTGAAAGCTAATGAATACGTTTGATTTTAGCATGTATTTCTCATCATGCATAACATGTTCTACGAGCAATTAGTGTTCATTAATATAGAATTGAAAATGACATAATCCAACGACATCCATATTGCTTGGAAAAGTAAGAATAAATATCAAAATTAACAGAATTTATAGCTATGAATTTAGAGCAGACCGCTCCTAATAGTACCATGCCGTGTTCTTTTCGCACAGACTATAAAATCTCTGAGCATTTTCTGAAATATAGATTCCTTAAGCAAGTCATTTATCACTTTTTTTAAATTCTTAAGAAAGAATCTCAGTCTTCGATTAATGAATATTCTCACAATTGTATTTCGTACTTATTGCAACATTTCTAAGATGAAATATTGAGATAACGAACAGTATTAAAGCTCAAAGTCCATTAATATAATACAAATTGGGAGCAAACACAGACCTCCAAAACATCGGAGGTGGGATCAGGTGCCATGGAGGAGTGGACATCCCCTGCCGACCGGTCACAACCTCCGTGTGCTCCTTGTCATTATCGGGAAATAACAGAAAAAAATCCGTCGACAATTCAGTCTGTAAATAATAACCTAACAATTAGTATGAAAAACGTCGGTAAGCATATGACTTAATGATGAATTGTATTTGCTGACAAGGTCATTATATCGACAGAAACTACGAAATGATGACTTTAAACGAGACTGTTGATATTCTTGTTTCATCAACTTGTTTGTCAATAACTTACGTCGTTTTAGAAATTGCTCATACGTAGAGCATACTCTTGCGACTGAGTCTAAGAATGAGTCCAACTTTTATAACGAATGATATTTATGTGTCAAAGTTTCAAAGAAATTTTAAGTAACGTGTTTATCAAATTTCACACCGAGTTTATATTTAGTTTATTATATTAGGTTAAGGAAGGTAAAGTTCAACGTCGGAAAATGTGTTGAGAATCAATTCAAAAGTATGAAACTGTCAGATATAGTCAGGAAAGGGTGAATAATTTTAATGTTTTTTTTTTATGAACAAATCTGTAATCAGGGAACAAAACATGATCCTTTGGAATTTCCAGATGTAGAAACAGGTGCATTAGAGGAGAAAATATCCCCTGTCCGATAGGCCATAGCTAAATGAACCTTTTGTATTGATCATAAAGACGTAGTCTTGTAAAAGCAACGGCGAAAAATTGGAATACATCAGTCAAAATACGACATAATGATTGATTATGCTTGCAAACGAAATCATAATGCAGTCCCTAGAATTAAATGAGAAAAAAATAATATGCTGACTTTAAACTTTATTGAACTCTCTCGGCTAAGAAAAAAAATTGTATGTATTTGCAAGGAATGGAAAAATACTCAAAAAAGCAAGACAACCTTTCCAGTCTGTATATGTAGAAATGTAACGTCATAGTAAAGCGAGAATCATAATGATATTACTAGTTTATCAATGGGTAATAAAAAAGTTTTTATACATTCATCGGATGATATTTAAAGTTTATTTCAGGTTGAGCTCAAAGATACGGCATTGTAGTTGTTGCACCACATGAGCAGTTAAGTCTTTCGGAGATGTTTCGCATTTGAATTAA